CACACACACACACACACACACACACACACACACACACACACACACACACACACACACACTCCCTACCTCCTCTCCCGTATTACCCTTCCTTCATGACCCTCCTCCTGATGCTCTATCACATCAAACAGGGTCTCTCTTCACAGAAATGGAATAATACTGTTATGTCTACACGACACATTTATCCTCACGTGTCAAACACTCTAAAACGGATTCGCTGAGTAAACCTCACAATTCTGTCTTTTAAAGCCCCCACCCCCTCACCCCTATACCTCCGCTCCACAAAAATGTGTTTTGATTATAGTTACTTCACTCGCATGTTTGACCTTCACCTGGCAGAGTACAAGTTGATCTGTGCACACTGTAAATCTGAGTTGAGGACGTGTGCGGTGCGAGCGTGACCGACTGGAAGCCTACGGTGGTCCAATGAGCAACTTACACAATCTCATGGCGAAAATTGGAGTCTACTTCACTGAAAATCCACTTTTCAGTGAAGTAGAACACATTTTGTGTCCAGTGGTGAAAGTTTTAAAAATAAACAATATTTGCATGATACTCATAAAGACATCAAGTGATCTTTTGACCAATCCATGATTATTTAAGCAGTTCGATATGATTTGTATCAACATTATGTCGTCAAATGACACTTTTTTTTGGTTGTCACTACCATAAATCTTTGTCCACAGTAGCGCAGAGCCTGTTTACAACACATCAAATACACAAACCCTCTCTTTTAGTCGCACACTCTCCCCTCAGCCTAATGGAAAATAGGAGGTGTGTGTGACCAAGACAACAAAATATCTCGTCATGTGGTTCCATTTACAGATAAAGCGTGACTATGTTGTTTTTTTTGTCATCACAAGATTAGTCTTCCCACACAGGCAGGATGAAGTCACAATGATGGGTTAGAAATAAAGACATACTGCCATCATTAATTGCCCACGCTTTTTATATTCAGTTCAACTAAAGCCATGCTTGGGCACTTCGGGTTTTCAATGTAGACTGGGTTCAGGGAGTGAATACCACAACTACAGATTGATTTGACTACCTCCCAATGAGAACATAACACATGAGGGTTGGAGGTGTCGGGGAGAATCTGCGATAAAAGCTGTGGGCTCTGGGGGATTTGTTGTTTGGCGTCCCGGTGTGTATTATCACATGTTTTGGGAACTCTGTGGTTCTCAAAACAGATTTGTACTCCCCTGAGTCCCCCCCATCCCTTCTTGGAAATAGTTTCCCGCTGCAATTTGGGATTCTTCGCTTTAGTCCATAATCATTTTCAGAGCCCGTCAAATCTCATAGAGTCAAACAATTTGAGTTTGTAGCTTTTGCTCCTTTCTAAACGTTTTGTAAGAGTGTTGTGAGAGCGAATTGATTCTTTGCCTCCGCGGGGCAAAGACGTGAACAGAAACAATGACACACTTTGAAACCATGTGCTCCTTATTAGGAAAAGCACAGCAAGTTATCATAATAACATGCCGTGCTTTCTTTGGGCTTGTCTGGAGACATGTCAAAAGAGAAATCATCAGGAGCTTTGCAGGGAGATTTTTTATTTTTTTATTTTTTTTTACAATGGAGTTGATTTATCATCTGAGAGACGGCGCTGATGGTTACGCTGCCAGACGGAGGAGCTGGACAGGGGCTACGCTGCCTGGGCTTAAATTGTCAACAGGTGCTCAGACACAGAGACACAGGGAACAGGCAAGACAGAGCTACCTTTCTATTTTAATAGAGGAAGAAGAGTGTGAGCCTCTGGATGTGCAGCCAGAGCAACATCATCCATCAATCTTCATGCACTACATCATAGATTGGATTCTCCAACAGGAGAGTGTGAAGAGGTTTAACATCCTAAAGCGGATTTCTGCTGGAAACTGAGGAATTATTAATAGTATGCAAGTGTTAGAGGGCTCTGTCGTGAGAATATAAGAATCACGGAGAGAACAGCAGGTGCAGTAACAACCTCCTCAACCTGACGCCGAACATAAACACGACACGGCTACGCTCACCGGGGAGCCAGATCAGATTCTTGAAGAAAATAACAGTTTGGAGGCCAAGGAATGTCTCAACTGCCGAGAGGAATGACGGGAAACGGGCAAATGATGAAGATGGAGGACAGCGATCAAAAGGAGGGAGTTAATAATAAAGGACATATCTATATATACCTGTATCGTGTTCACGTGATCTAACATTCAAATGATGCACTGAAGTTCTTGAGTTTTTGTATTAAATCTACTGTTTTTATACTGGCCAAGGCTCGAAAAAAGACATCTTGAACTTATGATGAGAGACTGCACTGTACTACAAACCAAAAACAGATTTTTGGTCACCACCTGCTACCAAGGTTCTGCTAAGAAAAAAAACACATACAATCTTTTTCAATAAAAACCCCATAGACATTACAATCTGGCTATTCAACGATGTCAATTTGACTTTTTCCCCACACACACACGCACCTACAAAAAGCCCGCCTGTGAAGAACCCTGCAGGGATCAGGTATGAGCAGGACAGCATCAACGCAGATGATCTATGTAGCGTGAAGAAGTGAGGAATTTGGGGGGGGTTGAGCCCCATGCTCACCAAGGAAGCTGTGAGGCATAAACATTGACCGTGATGGATGATAAGAGAGCGAGAAAAGATCTGGAAGTAGAAACGTATTCGAGCTGTCCACAACTTTGAGATTAAAGCTTAATACGCTCAGCACATTTGTTTTGCATAACGTCTTTGTTGCATTTTTTGACACTTTTAATGAGTCGGTTGACCTAATGGCAGCAGAAGGTTATGTCCAAGGTTACGTAAGTTTAGTGACTCTAAGGACTAAATATGAGTCATAAGATCCACAAGAATTTAATAAAGAACAAAATACTCTCATGACAGGATATCGGGTACACAAAGGATAGAATAAAAAACATAAAATGTACATTTCAGATGAAAACATATTATATATCATAAAAAATTGCTGCTGTCATTCATGATAATGTTCTTAAAATGATGACGATGACGTACTTCGCCGTCTTCACCCCCGTGATTTTTTCAGCATTTTCTATAATGAAAAAAACAAAACTCTTTTAGTCCATTTCTTGTTCAAAATGGAGAAATCAAAAAGTGTCCAAGAAATAAAGCAATTATTAGTAAGAAGCACTTATACATCTCATCAATAATTGGCAACATCAGTTCTAGATAATATAATTTATATTTATATAAAGAAAATATATACATTATGTGGGTTGCTTCTGGTGCCCGATGGTCATTAAGATGTGGGCCATTTACAGAAAATGAGACATGCATTTCCTTTTATGCAGAACATGCCAATAAAACAGCTTCAACAAAACATATAAAGCATTTTAAAAGCTGTGACTAGCTTTGTATATCCTGAAACAAGAACGACAATATAAGATTCCCCAGTTTACATCGATAGAAACCCTCGTGCAACTTTCATTATTGTTTTGCATGTGCAGACAAAACGATTAATCGGGTAAATAACTGCCAGATTAATCGATAGTGAAAATAATAGTTGCAGCTAAAATTGAAGCATTCAAACCTGAATAACTGACGGTTTGCTAATGTGTGGCCATTTCAGACAATATTGTAGAGAAGTGTAATGTTGAATGGACTCCGAGAGAAATATAAATACAGGTAAGACACAGGTGTAACGTTAGCTTAGTGCTTTGAACTCACCTTGGAGATGGCTCTGAGATGATGAGCTCTGATAGTTGCAGATTTCTCTTCAAAAGCTTTGGACTTCGCCTCCTCGGCCAGGCTGTTCAGAAACAGCAGCGTCAGGAGTTCAATCTGAGACAATTAGAAGCAATGAGCTCGTTTATTCATCAGCTGATGAGTCAGTTATGCTAGTTAGCGTTAGCCACAAACAAAGCTAACACACATTAACGTTAGACTTAACGGCTACGTACTCACCATTGCCTCTGACGTCGGCCCAACATTTATGTTACTCTTCGATTTCGTTTTGATTATATACTTCAACTTAGGTGCCTTCTTCAGCATTTTGGCAAATGTTCCGCTAACGAAAAGGTTTGTTTACGTCTTCAAATCTCCCGCTCCTCTTACTTCCGGTTAACACTGATTCTTCTTCGTGGCCATGTACGTTGTCGCTTGTTGTCATTACCGCCACCTACTGTTATGAAGTAACGGGTTTTAAGTACTATGTTCAAAGTGAGGACAAAATAACATCAAGTCAAATAGTTATTCAATGAATGGCAAACATTAAATCACCTACATAGAAAAAATAGCTCTAAACTCACAGAGCATATAATTGTAGTACTTCTATCTCTGTCTTATCTATGCTACCATCTAGCGGCGGCTTTACGCAACTACATCAGCAAAACACCATCAGACTTCTACTGTCTGTATCCGGGTCAACCAGCAGTAATGGCGGCCACCATGGAGACAACAGCCGGCATGAGCAATATGCTGCAATTCATGAAACTTATCGGACAGCTCAAAGTAAGACACCCAAACTCCGACCACTGCTCTGTTGATCTGGTCCCTGGTCAATAAATGAACAACAAATAATTTGAAGTATATTGACGCTCAATCTGTAGCTTGTAAATTGTTTTGCTGGAGCTGCGAGACAGTGTATTTTCTCCCAAAGTGCAGTTTATCTATTCTCTCCTTGCCCACACATACTACTACCATCATATTACAACTTGAGAGTAAGAAGAAAAAAAAGCATATCTTATCTGTGTCCTTTTGTCCAATCAACAGCTAAAGAAAACTCCACAAACATTATCACAAAAGACTACAAAAACAGGAAACATTCACCTTCCAGGACCTGCAGCCAGTGGAGTTTTGTTTAAAACGTCTTAATTATCAAATGTGCTGTCAAACAACATTTGTTGTGAAGTCAGTGTCTACAAACTTCCCATTTTCTGTGCCACTGATAACTTGTGGGTTGTGGTTGTTGTTACCTGCAGAGGGTCCCACGGACTGGATGGGTGTACAGGAACGTACAGAAACCAGAGAGTATATCGGACCACATGTACCGCATGGCCATGATGTCTCTGACCATCACAGACCCCACAGTGGACAAGGACAGGTACTTCATTCGCACATCTTGCACCCAGACCTTCTTCCAATCCATTGGGATGAACGGAGCTCTTTAATATCATTTAAAAAGCATAAATACTCATCACATCATGTTGCTTATGTGTTGTAGCCCTAGTATGTTGTTGCAAGGATGGATTGCAAAATACCTGAATACTAACTTCTATCATGCTCGTACTTTAGATGCATAAAGCTGGCTCTGGTTCATGACATGGCAGAGTGCATTGTGGGAGATATCGCTCCAATGGACAACATCAGTAAAGCTGAGAAACACAGGCGAGAAGAGGCAAGTGACCACATGATCTAAACACAATAGAGTCCGTTGAGTGGAACTTTGAAGTAAAGATGATGGTTTATATAAAATGAAGCCGTCGCTGTTTGGCTTTTCTCATTTCTCCGCCTCACCTCTGTCTCAGGAAGCGATGAGACAGCTATCAGCTCTTCTGCCGGAGGGACTCAAACAGGAGATGTACGGTCTCTGGGAGGTACGCCTCTGTTGTGTTTGTAGCTCACGAATGACCATTAAACGTATCTAACAGGAGGCTGTCATGTCCCTTATGATTATATTATACCAGAATGTGTTTTTTTTTCTGCAGGAATATGAAACTCAGATCAGTCAGGAGGCTAGGTTGGTGAAAGAGTTTGACCTCCTGGAGATGATCCTGCAGTCTCACGAGTATGAGGAGCTGGAGGGAACGCCGGGAAGACTGCAGGAGTTCTTTGACTCCACCAACGGCAAGTCGTCTTCTCCTTCTCACATCTGTTTCACATCTGTCTCTCTCTTCTTCACTGGATCTCATCACTTAAGTGTCTCACATTGTGGCACATCGCCTTTCTTTTCCTGTCTCTGTGTCATTTGTTCAGTGTTTACGTACATATATGTATTTAATGGGTTGTCCTTTGTAGTAATTTAACCCAATTATGACATGTAGGTGCAGACTTTTTATGAATTGAATTCTGTCTCAGGCCGTTTCCACCACCCAGACGTGCTCCAGCTCCTCAGCGCTCTGAATGAAGAGAGAGGAAGTCACATGACTAAAACGGATGAAACAAAGAAATCTGACAGCTCGAACACGGCCGGCGCCTCATCTTCACAGACTCGTACGACGCCGCACACCTCGTGACTGTAACGCAAGAGTAGAGGCAATAACACAGACTGCGTGTACGAGGATGCACAAACACGTCACGGGATCGGTGGAAAAACAGTTTTGGGAGTTTCAGCTGTCTTCTACATATGGGTTGAATGTATTAAAACGTATATCAATGCCCAGATGTGATGTAGAGAGAAACTCCAATATTTCTTTCCAGCAACAGGTTTTATTGTATGTTTCCAGTCCAATACATTTGTTATTACATTTTGACATGTTATATATCTGTTTTTCAACAGGTTCAGTCAAAGTCGTCAGTGTTTATTGTAAAAATCAGTCATCCGTGATATCTGGTTTAAATAATCTTTAATATCGACCCATCAGTCATGTATAATGTATAATGGTGTGTAATTAATCGCATGAATACAGATTGATGTATTGTGTCTTTGGGTTTTAGAGGTTTAGTAAAAACATTTGTAAAAGTTCTTGAAGCTGGAGTTTAGTTCAGTTTGATTTCAAACCAACACAAAAGGTCAAATATATACTGCAGTTAATTCTCTTATTACACAACATGCAGACCTCCGTTATTTGGTAACAGGTCAGACCGGACAACCTTTTCTTACGGCACAAGATCAGTCAGTGCTTGAATGCGTCAACGTGATTTTTATTAAACATTTCTTCTCATCGTATCTTCTGAAACCACAGCAAAGAAAATAAGATCTTATAACATGAAAGACAAAAGCAGAAACAGAACAGTTTGTATTTTGAAAACGGAACGACTCGTTAAAGAAAAACAGGATGTTTTTACTCAAACATTACATTTGACTTTGTGTTTCGTGGCACCAATCTTTTCATAACGAGCAGTAAAAAATGACGGATTTCAGCATTAATCAGATTAGTTCTGCACCAAGAAGAGTTAAAAATCAGATCTGTGCTTCTGAAGCAACATCAAGCAGCAGTATGAAGTCATATTCATATTTCACTGTGTATTAGTTACACAGCCAACAGGCCTTCACCTTATCTGGACCATTTTAGAGTTACGATGTCATGTTTTACACCTGCGTGTGAATCCAGCACTAATGTGAACTACAGCAGTTCAGAACAAGGTTAAAAACATGAATATCAGCAGTTTAAATTTTGGAGAAAACCGTGTTTTTATTTCCAGCATTAGACTCAATTGTGAGAAGGGAATAATCCGATGTTGCACGACATCACATCTTTCTAGTCAGCCATGCAGTCAGTGTTTCACTTCTTCCTATAGACTCGTTAGTCTTATATGGTGTGAATGCACAGACTCACTCAACATGCCATAAGTAAGACTCGGCATTCAAATAGGGCCCGGCCCGAACTGAAAATGTGTCAGCTGTGATTTAAAAAAGTAGTAGGACTGGCTCTATTTGCAAAGTCTGCCCACACAATATTTTTGTGAGGTGCCATAACAAAATCTGTCTTAGTGTAAAATCATTTATACGAGTTTACAAATCCACCCAGGACTTCTGGGTGGATTACATCGATATGGGATAGGGATATATATATATTTTAATGTTTTAGTACAATGTAACATAGTTGATTTTTATACAAACACTTTAACTGTATTTCTAAAAATAACCTAAAAATGTAGTTTTTGGTATGAAGTCATGTAGAGTTTTGATTCTGCACCAACATGGCTATCAAGTCAAATCTCCGCATTAAATGAAGGAATCAATAAACTCTCATTTTGAGTCTGAAGAACTCAAGCTTTAATTTTGACAGGTTTGTTTCCTCACTCGAGAGGAGAGGGCGACTCCTGTACATGAGCCAAACCGCGAGATGAAGAAACACAGGCCAGAATTACAGGGTTTTAGTTCCGGAGCTGACCTGGAATCTGCTCATTCTAACTAAGGCTTATCTGCGTCTCCCCTTCGGGAGCTGTCGCTTTAGAATATTTACGTTACATTTTTGGTCCAAACAAGAAATTGCATCAATTTTCTATCAGTCTAATAAGCATTTGAGGTTGCAGGAAATTCCATCCAAGTGTTAGGAGACTTAATAAGCGGACACGAGATTGTTCGCAAAAGCATCTCATTGCGTCAACACGATCAAACAAAAGTATTCTGTAACAATTCAGTCAGAGTAGATGAGTAGATGTTGAGACATGAGTTCCTGGTTGAAGGCTCTAACACGGCCTCTCGGAGGAGCTGTCCGTCAAGTTGTTGGTGGGCGTGTCCTGAGAGCTAGCGTGTGCTGCGGAGGAGAGGACTTCCTCAAAGCTGCCTCCCGTCTCCGTACCGCCGACCTTTGTCTGTGGAAAAATGCATCAACGTGAAATGTGCCGTCAGAGCTCATGTCTCCCTCTTTTGCGCAGAGTTTTTCAAAGACTTCCACGTTCACACAATGCCAGTTAGCACATAAGAGGATGAGAGGGATGTTTCATTTGAACATATAAGTGGAAATGTTAAGTTCCAGGAACTAAGGCAAACAGCTTTTGTTTTAACATTGAGCGCTACAGCCTGCATGCGTTTTTGAGAGGATTTCATTCAAAAGGTAAGGTTCGGAGCAATTTAGCATTTTGCTTAGTGATAAAATAAATCATAAAACAGATGGTGGTCTTTACAAAAGGATGGCAGTCTGCTGCTGCAGAGACTGTACGAGGATCAGTGTGAACATAAATAACCAGCAGGCTCACTGCAGGAGTCAGGAGTGTAAGCTAATTACAGTGTTCAGTCCTCTCTGCTTCACCGACGTTTTATAACGTTCAGAGGCAGCGACACGACCCGTTCCTCTGGGCGGCTTCCACATCTCACTGCTGTAGATCGTAACAAAGACGAGCTTATATGCTCGTTAGGGACTGACAACATTTCTGTCGGCAGGACTCGCAAATAGTCAGATAACAAGTAATTACAAATTACAGCATACAGACACTGGATATAGAAATGTGGACAAGAAGCTTTCAAAATACACTACATGACATTTTTAATGCTTTGAAATAAGTGAGAGACCATTTAGAAGATAACATGTTGTGTTTTTGTTCCATCATAATCTTAATAATGCTCTCTCACACTCACAAACAGCACTTACCTTGATAGTGGACACTGTAGTCTCGACTTTTTCCTCAAAAGACTTGAAGCTGGGAGAGTTTCTGTAGAGAAAGAGAAAGAAAGACGTTCTACTTTATTATTATTGAACCACAACACAAAAAAACATGTTCTGCTAAAATGAAAGTATTACAACGACAGTTCATAACCTTTATTTTGGCTATAACAGTAAGTATTTACAGTGATATCATGGTAAAACATCTGGTATTCTATTTTTTCAGGTTCCTCATCACTAAATAAATGTTAATGGAGGCACACAAACAGTTTGCTGCCTCGTGGTTAAATGCCTCCGCCAACCAGTCATGTTGCAGTTTTACATCCATGTCTTAATAGAAATCATAATTAGTTATAATAATTGGCATAATGAATTATCCTGAGATCTCACGCTCACGAGAATGAGACGCACGCTTGTTCACAGTGACCTTTGACCACCAAAATCCAATCAGTTCATTCTTGAGTCCAGGTGGACGTTTGTGCCACATTTGAAGAAATTCCCTCCTGAGATGTATCGCACTAACGAGAATGGATCGGACGGATAACACAAACACGTAACTCCTGACACACTGAAGCAGCACTGGACCAGGTGTTTGAACAATATGAAGAGTACAAAGATCAGAAGAAAGAGAAAACCGACTCTCTCTCACACACAGTCACACAAGCAAGCAGAGTGGTTACCTCATGGTGGGCATGCTCATAGAGTGTCTGATAGCGTAGCTGTCCCCAGAGAGCGTGGTGAGAGAGGAGTTAACGATTAGCACAGGTTACACACACACACACACACACACACACACACACACAGCTGGAGGAATCATTAGACAGTCGCAGGGCCAATTAGAGGAGGAAATGGAGAGAAAAGGGTAAAGCTGATCAATATACTGGAAGAGAAGTAGAGTAACAGCTCAGACCTCCACACAGACCAAAGGATATTACATCTATGGTATGATATCATGAAGGGATGCAACTCAGTAATAATTTAAAATTGGCCAAAAATGGAAGAAAAAAAACAAAAACAAAAAAACAGAAGCACTTAAATACAACTTCACATGATTCTTTGAGTGTCGGAGACCAAAGTCAATTAGACCGGATTCTGACATGAGAAAAGCAACTGACCGAGTGCTGCGGTCCAACATGGCAGCAGCATTTACTCAACTAAGAGACTCAGACTGTTCCCACTCCTAACAGTCATCCGTGAGTTGAGACTCCTGAGTGAGGAACAACTAATGTGACACAATCAGCGGTGGGATTCTTACCCGATAGAGTTGGACCTTGGGAAGCATGGAGGAAGATGGAAAAACAATCTCTTTTACAGATACTTTGACAGGCCTCGTATACGTCACAGTCACACTTTCACTTGGGCAGAACATTTATGTTATTAATACAAACAATGTCACCATGAAAGGTAAACTACCAACTGGTATCTGTTAGGGGAAGTAAACTGGCAGCAAGTGAACAACATGAATGTGAGGAACTAGATTGTACAACACTATACTTGCTGACAAAATGACAATGTTCTATTAAAGATAAACATTGTAAACACACAAAAACACAGCAATCCTATCCACACTCGCACTTAGAGGAAACCCTGAATGGAATGATGATCACAAAACAGTTTTGTGCACAAACCAAATATCTATGTGATCACGCAGACACACAGCAGATGTAAGAATAAAGAGTTGGGTGTTGAAAGAGAAATGTGGCAGAATTAACAATGGTGGCACAGAAACAATCTGATTTTTAACTGCACAAAAACAACAGACAGACAGACAGACAGCATGATAGCTTGCATCCTTTGAGAATAAAAGGTGGAAAAATACTTGATATGACAAAATGACTTGCAAGAACACACATGAAACACACACACACTGCAAAAAAATAAAAAGACAAACATGCTTACTGTGTGTGCACACAAACCCAAACCTATGCACACCATGAATGAACCACAGGGACATACCTCCGAGGCAACAGAAACTCTAGACCAACCATGCTGGAATAATCAAAGATAAAACATCGTTTCCTTTCTGTACTTTATACTCCAAACACATGAGAAGCTGCAGTGTACACAGAAGTGACAATAGCCCACTTGTCTTTTAAGCATTGCCACTGTCAACACGTTACAGGAGATATAATAGTTTTACAACTTTTTTCTGTTATGTTGTTTTTAAAAATAAACGGATTTTGTCAAAGTAATACCAACGTTTCTGGACTTTATTTTAGCTTTAAAATCCAAACCGTCTTGAGTTACATTGGACTCTCTTTTTGCTGAAACAAATAAACAACTTTTACTGTATGTTGTCATGCAGCTGTCCCTCCAATCATCTTATCTTACGCATCCTGGCACATACATGAAGTCACACAGGCCCACATTTTCTAGCTTTTTCTTGTCATCATACACAGTGCCGTAGTTATTGCACACAGAACAATGCAGGCTTGTGTTGACTTTCAGTGTCTCCAACAGAGCAGCACAGAGTGACAGAGCGGCAAAGAGACAGGACAAGAAAATGAAAGCGACTGAGGTCAGACTTTGCCTCTGGCCCTTCGGCTCCCACAGAAAGCAGCTTAAAGTAGGTTTACATAATCTCAATCCCCCCCCACCCCCCCGAGCAGGATAGAGCAAAGAGTCAAAACTCTCTGAGAGACGGCGATGGATCGCACAAATATAAAACATGTGACTCAGATAAAAGTGGGAACGCATCAGTGTTGAATGGATAGGCTGGGGCTATGATGCTGTTTGGATTTGTAAATGCGTTTATGACGGGGGAAATACAACCACGGCTGCAAAAGACACATTTCCTGCCTCAAGGAGACAATGTGACGACGTGTCCAGCAGAGCGCAACTGTCAACAGAGCCACCGGATTCAGTGGGTGACTTGTGTCCACACTGTTTGCATGATATATCCGAAGTCAACACAGATCATGTTCTGTAAATAATGAATGTATGACATCGTTGTGTACCTCATGTCCCCAAACTTCCTGGTGATGGCGCTGCCCAGAGTGTTGAAGGCAGCCGAGGTTTTCTGTCCGGCTGTGGACAGCGTCTCTGATGTCTTCTTATAGCTGAGACAAAAAGAAGACGCATTTAAAAAATGTCATTATTACTCCCTAAACACAGTATTCATACAAATGTATACAGATGCAAATATGACAGGCACAAACACGTAAACACAAACACACGATCATATAATAATAACCATCAGGAGAGGTGTGAATCACCAGAGGCCCCACGATTCGATATTCTCTAGATAGTCTCACGATACCCAAGTCAAGAAACGATACTCTAAGAAGACTTAAGTCTCGATACAATATTATCACAATACTTAAGTCACTATATTTAAGTTACAATACAATAAATACAGGATATTTGAGTCACAATACAATATTATCATGATAATTAAGTCCCGATATGGTCTTATTGTGATTGTAAACATATATTGCGATATATTGCCCTTTATTACCGAACTAGAATGATGCAGTTTGTGAATATCCGTTTTATTTAATAAGATGAAGTTTTCCCACTGACCATCTCACTTTTAATTAAAGCACAATAAGTTTGTCAGTCAAGCAGACAGACTGAACAACACACTCTTTGTTTTGACCGATCCCGCTAACGTTACCCATGGCCAGAAAAACACAGCGTCGTCTATGGGACTGAAAAAGCTTACATCTTACACTCCTGTGGCCTTACTGGTTCATTATAGATGAGGACGTCAACTGTGTGTGTAAAGTGATCTTCAGGCTGAAGTGTAACTGGATAAGGAGGGAGGCCGCTGGAGACTATCCCCTTGCTCCTCTCTGTCTCTTGGTGTCTGGGTGAGAGCTTACAGCTGATAGTCCAACCAGGAAATTAGTTTATTTTAGTGTGCAGAGAAATAACCTATCTATTCAAACAAGTCCTATCCTGATTCGGGGGAACATGACAGGTGTTTTGTTCCCTGCCGATAATACAGTTAAAGATCATTGTGACATGTTGACTGTGTCATGGGGTCAGCAATAGCCTTTAGCATTGTGTAGCATGTGTATTTAATCAGGTTTATGATGTCTGGTACACTGAGTGCAACAGAGATAACAATTACACAGATCGTGCAGATAAGAGCAGAGGATTATGTCTGTAGAATTAGGTTTGTGATATCTGTTAGGAAACAGAACTACCTACTCTTTGTATTGTGTGTCCTGTAAAGGGCATCTTTGTTGACAGCACACAGAAAAGCCTATTTAGTCATGTGCTGCAGAAACAAACACACACTTTCTCCCCTTTCACTTTAACTCAATCAAACCTGCAAACCGTTTCTTTATCCGTCAGCTGTGAAAAACAAACGCACAATTAACTTACGCTGTGGTGGTCTGCACGTCGTGCCAGCCTCTACTCAAGTTGTTTCTGAGCTCGTTCAGCGAAGACATGCCCAGTTTCTGTTTGAGCTCCGCGTGCTGCTTCTCTTTGGACGTCAAAACCTGCTTCAGCGTACTGATCTCCTCCTCCAGCTGGACGCACACAAAAAGAGAAAAAGCACTACTTAGTGGTCTTCATACCATCCAACACCTCTTGTTCTTTCCGAGCGTGCACGTGAGAACATACTTTAGCCAACTCTTGTTGAATCTCCTCTCTCTCCTCCTCCGTCAAGCTGTTTAAGTGGACTTCTGACGCCATATCTTCATCAGTCTCTCTCAGTGGCTCAGAGTCCAAAAAACCTGAATGACACACACACACACACACACACACACACACACACACACACACACACA